TTTATATATATATATATATATATAGAAGGAGCATGAGTCGGCTCCCTACATGTTGATAAGAAGTGAAGTTACAAAAAAGGTTGGTTAGGAAGGTCCCCAAACTAGAAAATAAAACACAAAGTTACTCACTCATAAGGGGTATCCCAACCACAGAAACAGACACTCATTGCAGAAAAAGGGGAATATATATACAAGCACATATATATATATATTCTCCAAAAAAACAAACTAAAGAAAGCAGAAAAGACAAGTAACCCCCAAACAAGTAGCACAGCCTCAATGGAAGACCAACACTAATCATGGCCACAAAACAATGGTCCCAACATTCATTTTTGCACTCTTAGGTAAGGAATTTGGAGTTTTTCCCCTTGAGTTAATAGGTGGAGAGGGGGGGAGAGGATCGTGGATACCTCAGCATGCTCAACATTTGCACCCTCCATAGCCAGGAAGTTTGCAGGTCTGTTAGCTTCCCTATACACAAAAGAGAAATGAATCTGAGAAATGAATCTTACTGTCAAGGCTTACTGTCAAGGCTAAGCTTTTTAATCTTGTGAATCCACTGATTAATATGCCAAGGGGAAGTCATCTTAATGTTCAACAGCTCCACCAAAAGGGAGGAGTCCACTTCAGCAACAATCCACTTCCACTTATTCTTCATAGCAAATTTTAATGCCCAATATAGGGCAGCAGCTTCAGTGTCCAAGGCATCTTCAGCAATATAAGGGGCCTTATAGAAAAGCAAGGTATGCCCTATGTGATCTCTAAAAATTCCCCCAATACCTGCTCTCTTGTTTGTGTAGCTTCCATCTGTATTGATTTTAATGAATGTGTAAGAAGGTCTCTCCCATCTAACCTTGATGATCTTAATATTATTAGCAACCATTATGGTCTGCAGGATCTTAGGGAACTTCCTCCAACTTATCAACTTATTTAGATAAGACAAGCAATTAATCATCACCCTTGTAGTGTTGGCCTCCCTCTCCTCATGTTTGGCCATGTTCCTAGACATCCAGATGAACCAAGCAACAATGAAGGGAATTGGCATGAGGTTAATCTCTTGCCAATCTTTAATACAATCTATAATGTTATCCCAACAATACTTATCAGGTTAATATTCATTTGGGAGGTCAATCTATACCAAACCTCCTTAGCGAATTTGCACCTGAAAAATAAGTGATCCCTGGAATCCTGGTCGAGCTTACATAGGTGGCATCTAGAAGGCCCTTTCAGGCCTTTTAGTTTTAGGATATCATCAGTAGGAAGTAAATTATTAAGAGCTCTCCAGGAAAAGAACAACATTGAAGGGGTAAGGTTTTTTTGGCAAGAGGAAACATTCCACTGGCAGGTGTCCCAGCTGTACAAATTATTCTGGATATCCTTTGAAATACTAGCCCTGGTCTTATTCTTCAAGTTAAGTTGATCCTTGTTATTTCTATCAAATTGGATAGTAGAAATGGAGCTAACAGACTGATCCTTCAATATACTCCTAAAAATGTCCTCAGACCAAACATTACCATTCCAATAGTCCTTGAACAGTAGATCCCCCTCCTTTTCATCTTGTAAAGGTTCCAAATAGTCAGTAGGACACCAGTTGTCTTTCCAAAAATTGATTTCCCCTTGGCCCAGCTCCCATCTTAGCAGCTTTTCAATGTCTTCTCTGACCTTAAGCATTTGAATCCAAATTCTAGAATCTCCCACCTTCCTAGTGACCTCCCCAGGGTGATCAAATTTGCAATATTTGGCCTGCATGAACTTGGCCCATAAGTATTCATTTTGTCTGAATTTAATCCAAAGCTTGCACAGACTGATGTGTTGCATCTGGTGCAAACCTTTAAATCCTAAGTCACCAGCCTCCCAGGGTTTAGCCACTTTTTGCCAGCCTGCCCAAGCCACTTGTTTCCTGTTCCCAGCCCAAAGAAACCTGTTGAATATTCTTTCCAGCAAGAGGTGGGTGCTTCTTTTCATTGTAGCCACTTGGAGAACATTAAGGAGGGTGATGGTAAGCATGCTCTTAAGGAGGGTGATCCTACCACCATTAGACAAATAAGAGTTAAACCACCCCTGAAGAGTAGAGATTATCTTATCAATAACCTCATCAAATTGAATCAACTCAGTCCTTCCTCTGATCAAGTGAATCGCCAGATATTTGAAAGGGAGGTTCAAGCTAGAGAAACCAGTGTAAGAGTATATCCATTGTTTGGTTGGTAGAGAGGCTCTTTTACTGATCAGAATCTCACATTTATCCTTGTTTACCTTTAGACCAGACACCTGTTGGAAGTGTTGAAGGCACTCCATAATGGACTTGGTAGCAGACTTGGTAGCCCTAGTAAACATCAGAATGTCATCAACATATATCAGATGGCTGATATCCATCTTAGCTCTATTGTGATAAGTGTGATATGTGTTAAAAAAAACTTTTTCTATTCTCCTTGCAATCAATCAGTCTAGAGAAGTAATCCAGGACCAGGATAAAAATGGTGGGGGATAAAGGGTCCCCTTGTTTGAGTCCTCTAGAAGCTTTAAAGAATCCATGTGCTTTGCCATTTATAAAAACTGAATTCATATTATCCTCAAGCCATCTTTTAATAATCTGACAACACTCCCTAGAAAAGCCCCTAGCCTCCAAGCATTCAATAATGAAATCCCAGTTCACCATGTAATAAGCCTTCTTCAAATCAAGCTTAAAGATGGCATTTCCCCCTCTAGAAGGTTTCTCCAAATCCTGTAGACGTTCTTGAGCCAGGAGGATGTTATCCCCAATGCTTCTGCCTTTCACAAAAGTAGCTTGATTATTGATGACAAGTTAAGGTAATACAGGCTGGAGTCTGTGCTTTTACTTATAGTCTTGCTTATCACATTGTTAAGACTCAGGGTTCTGTAATGATTCCAGCTATCCTAGTAGAAGCACTGAAATAATTAGGTAGTGAGTTACCTTTAAAAAAGTGTTGGATAGCTTTGATCACCTCCACCTTGATAACCTCCCATGCTTTCTTGTAGAAGTCTGCAGTAAACCCATCAGGTCTAGTAGATTTAGAGCTGTCTATAGAATTCAAGGCTATTTTGCAGATATGGCAGATTTAATAGTGGCATTACATAAATTAATAACCTCCTCATCAGGAATATCTTTTAAATGCAGATTGGTAGTAAACTTCTTGCTGTCAACAAATAAATTGCTATCAATGTGCACTCTTTCACTGTTCATCCCATTCATTAGGTTTTGGCAGTACTGCACAACACTTTCAGCAATTTCCTCCTCCTGCCTGATCCAAATTCCATTCTGGTCCTTGATGAAGTGTATAGTGTTACATTTTCTCTGGTATTTTATGCAGGCATGGTAGAATTTAGTGTTTTTATCTCCTTCAGTAAATTTGGTTTTGGCAGCCTTTTGTTGTAGGAATTGTTCCTGCCACTGAACAACATTTAAGAGTTTCTCATTTGCCTCAAGAAGAACAGCTTCATAAATCCTCCCTTTTCTATGCTCCTCCTCCAGATCAATTACCTCCTTTTCAGCCTTATGTAAAATCAGCAGGAGGTCCCCAAAAGTGCCCCAGCTCCACTGTTTAAGAGCTTTGGCCACCTTCTTTTGATTAATCCACAGGTTGATGAAGGGATCAGGGTAAAGGTCATTCTTCCAATGTTCCTTAATAATATTCAAGAAGTTCAAGGGTTGAGACCACATATTCAGATATCTGAAAAAGCTTTTCTGGCTTGTCACCTTCTTCCCTATAGTGATCAGTAAAGGCCTGTGGTCTGAACCGGCAAGGCTTAAGTGAGTGAAGGAAGTCTGCAAAAACTTTTGGATCCAATTATCATTGGCAAGCACTTTGTCCAACCTTTCCCACATGTCCTTCCTTCTCCAAGTAAAGGTAGGACCACTGAACCC